TGAACCCAGGTCCTCAGGCTTTGAATCCAGTGCTCTTTCTACTGAGTCATCTATGTTTGGATAACGAACAGCAGGGCTCTGTCCATTTGTGTGGAAACGAGAGCTAGAATCTGAAAAACTGTTGAATGTGCTAAGAGTTTCTTGTGGGTGTTCCCTTGGCATGTGTTAAGTGGGCTAAAGTCTTCTGCTTCCTTTCATGAGTCTGTAATCCAGTTATTTACTCTCCAGAATTTTATGTTGATGCTCAAGGTCCATTTAAATTGGTGACCTTACTGAGATAGTAACTCCAGAACCAGTAGTGCCATCTGGGCTAAGTGATGGAGAGAATCCCAGAATCCCATTCATTCGCCTATTCATTCATCAGTGTGTTTAGCTAGTCACTGGCTAGCAATAAAAAGTGCCTGTCCTTGAGGAGCTTACATTCTATTACATTCTCAGAGTGGGAAGGCATCTCAAAGGACAGCTAGTCCAACCCATATCTGAACAAGAATCCCCTCTATGGAAAACTCCAGTAGTTCCCAAAGTGATGGTTAAGGTACCAACCCAAGGGATGTATGAGCAACCAAATGAAGGATGAGAAGTTATCCAGGAATGGGTTGGAACTAACTCCTACCCAACTCAGAGCTTATTAAATTTTCAGTGTGAACATTTACATGTCTAAAACAGGCAAATGGACAAATCAGGGCTTGGTTTATTGTTTTGCTATTTGTCTAGATTTATGACTTTTTGCCTCTTTTTGTATCCGTAAGGCTTAGCACAGTGTCTAACACATAGTAGGTGCTTAATAAATGTTTATTGATTGATTCGGAAATTAATGGAGAAATGTTAATATTGCAGATTACATTTAAAAGTGTGTTATATGTACATTGCAGGGGTGAGGGGTGGAGCCAGTTGTTAAATATCAACCTGCTCACGTCCAACTATTCTGCACAACAGCCAATCATGGGGTGAGATGGCCTCCTTTTCAGCCCTAAGCTATGATTCTATGAAGTGGCAAATGACCTGGATTTTGGTCCCTGTGCAGCTACCTGTGACTTTGGACATGGCCTTCCCCCTCTCTGGTCTTCAGTTTCCTTCTCAGACTGGGTGATGGCTGATGTCCTTTCCAGCCCTGGAATACTATGATGAGAGCGTGTGTTCCTGGGAAATGACATATTTAAACTACGAAGGGATTTTGTTGAGTGAAACACTAGAAAATGGGCAGAAGAGGGAGCTAAAGCATTCTGACTCTGATGCCTTTGGCTCTTTGGGTGGCATACAGAGGTACTGATTTGTGGCTGGACTTGAGAAGAAACAAGTCAAGTTTATGTAGCAAACCAATCTGAGTCAGCTAACCATTGAGAAGGCTATAGAATACAATTGATTTTTTAATGCAGTGTGAAAGAAGAGAGGAAAGAACTGGCTTTGGGGTAAGAGGACTTGGCAACCAATTGTACATGGTGAGTGAGGAGAGTAAGGTGACACCTAGGTTGTGAGCCTGAATGGGAGGGAGGATGGTGGTACCTTTGACAGTAATGAGGAGGTTAGGAGGAAAAGAGGGTTTGCTGGGGGGAGGAAGGGTTGGTGGTGAAGATAATGAGTTCAGTTTTGCATAGGTTGAGTTTAAGATGTCTATGAAACATCCAATCTAAAATGTTCAATAGGCAGTTGGAGTTGAGAGACCAGAGGCTAACCTCTTGATAGAGAGGTCAGGGCTGGACAAATAAATCCAGGAATCATCTGCATGGCTGTTCAGCCATGTCCCACTCATTGTGACCTCATTTGGGGTTTTTGTGACAAAGATACTAGAATGGTTTGCCATTTTTCTCCAGCTTTACAGATGAGAGAACTGAGGCAAACAGAGCTAAATGACTCGCTCAGGGTTACACAGTTAGTGTCTGAGGCTGGATTTGAACTCAGGTCTTCTTGACTCCAGGCCCAGTACTCTATCCCCTGCACCACCTACCTTCCCCTTCCACATACAGATGAGAGTTAAAACCATGGCAACTAATGAAATCATCGAGTGAAATAGCAGAGGAAGAAGAGAGACAGGCCCATCACAGAGCTTTGGAGGGTACACTCAATTAACAGGGATGACCTGGATGAAGGTCCAGCTCAGGAAACTTAGAAGGAACAGTTCAACAGGACAGCAATGTCACAAAAGCCAAGAGAGGAAAGCATCAAGGAGTGGGTGATTGATGTCTGTCAACAGAGAGGTCAAGAAAGATGAAGACTGAGAAAAGTCTATTAGATTTGGTGATGTTAACTGAGTCCACAACAAAGTACTCTGTCTAATCTTAACAGGGCTCGGGGCAGCTAGGTGGCACAGTGGATAGAGCACCGGCCCTGGATTCAGGAGGACCTGAGTTCAAATCCGGCCTTGGACACATAACACTTAACTAGCTGTGTGACCCTGGGCAAGTCACTTAACCCCATTGCCTAAAAAAAGATAGATAGATAGATAGATAGATAGATAGATAGATAGATAGATAGATAGATAATCTTAACAGGGCTCTCACTGCAACAGGACATTCCTTTTGATTCTGTGGGGCAGCTAGGTGGTGCCATAGTGCACAGAGCACTGGGCTTAGAATCAGGAAGACATCCTCATGAGTTCAAATCCGGCCTGAGACATTTCGTATCTGTGTGACCCAAGGCAAGTCACTTCACCCTGTTTGCCTCCATTTCCTCATCTGTAAAATGAGCTGGAGAAGGAAACGGCAAACCATTCTAGTATCTCTGCCCAGAAAACCCCCAAATAGGGTCATGAAGTCAGACGCAGTTGAAACGACTCAACGACAACAATCAATTTTACATGCTGCTCCCCTCTTCTGTCCTCCAGTGTCCCAGTGCACCCTCTGCCAATCTTTGCAGCTAAGATCCTCATCTTCTACTTTACTGAAAAAACAAAGGCCATCTGCTTCATGAGCTCCCTCTGGTCTCCTTTTCTACATCTCGCAACCCCTTGACATCATCCCTCATTTTCTCCTCTTTTCTTCTGGCCTCTGATGATGAAGTAGCCCTTCTCCTTGCCCAACAAGCCCTATTTACAAACACCCTTGATTTACATGCCCTCCTATCTCTTCCAGCAAATTTGTCCCATCCCATCTCCACTTGATTCCTTATTTTCAGTCTCTCTCTATCTGCTGTTCCTTTCCTTGCTCCCTATAACCATGTCCAAGTCTCCTCCATCCTTCAAATATTCCCTCTACATCCTACTATCCCTCTCAAGTTAGAATTAGAAGAATCTTTCCCTTATCTCAGCCAAATTCCATGAAAAACCTCTCTACAGTAGCTGCCTCTTCTCCATCTTCCCTGACTCACTCATCAGCTCTCTGTGATCTGCCTTCCAACCTCATGACTCAACTAAAACTGCTCTCTCCAAAGCCACCAGTGATCCCTTAATCATCAACTCTGATGGCCTGTCCTCAGTCCTCCTCTTTCTTGATCTCTCCAAGCCATTGGCATTGCTGACCCCTCTTTCCTCTCTAGGTTTTGTCACTATTCTCTTTGGGTTCTCTTTTTATCTGTCTGATTGTTCCTTTGTTGGATAATTACCTATTTATTTTTATTTTTATTCTTTTTTTAGGCAATTGGGGTTAAGTGACTTGCCCACGGTCACACAGCTAGTAAGTGTCAAGTGTTTGGTCTGAGGCCAAATTTGAACTCAGGTCCTCCTGACTTCAGGGCTGGTGCTGTATCCACTGCGCCACCTAGCTGCCCTGATAATTGCCTATTTCTAACTGTAGGTCTATCTTCTCTTTCCTTTATTGGTTGATTGCTGTATCTGTAAAATGGTGGGGTTAGACTAGAAGGCCTTGAAGGTCCTTTCCAGCTCAGAAGCTGGGGTGTTTGACTGTTAAGAGTCTTGAGAACCTATGCTACTAAAGAAAACCTTATCAGGTTTTGAATATTAATGGAAGGAAATACAAAGCTGTGGGGCCACACTGTCTGGATCAGTGAGAAAGCAGGACCAGTCAGCAAGCCCCCTGACCACCTAACATCCAGTCCATCCAGCCAACAATGCTATCTACTCTGCTGCTGTGTGTATCCACCACCCTTCTTCCCTTCTCTCCTCCCCAGTATACCCTTTCCACTTCTTTCCCTGGGCTCAATAATCAAACCCATAGTACCAAATTCTCATTGTTCCTAGAAAGGGTGTGTCTAGTGACTGTCCTATAGATCAACTCCTCATCCCCTGACTTGGTGACTCTTCATACACTCTCTTCCTTTGACACTTCTCCCACAAAAGTGTGGCCTCCATTTTGATTGGCAGCTAGGTGGCGCCGTAGTGGATAGAGCGCCTGGCCTGGAGTCAGGAAGACTCATCTTCCTGAGTTCAAATCTGGCCTCAGACAACTACCAGCTGTGTGTTAAACAAGTCACTTAATCCTGTTTGCATCAGTTTCCTCATCTGTAAAACGAGCTGGAGAAGGAAATGGTAAAGCATTCCATCCAGTATCTTTGCCAGGAAAACCCCAAATGTGGTCATGAAGAGTCAGACAAGACTGAAATGGCTCAGGTAAGCCACTACATGGAGGTCCCAGTTCCTGCTAAGCTTCATTTCACTCCTTGGACCTCTCACCAGCTGAAATGCCACCAGGTCTAGAAACCGAACCCTGGAGGACTTAACTCTTCTATGCCCAAACTCAACCCTGAACTTCCCTCTGCCCTACTCCATCCCCTTTCCAATTTTAGAACCATGATCAAATTACTCTATCATCCCTCCTGGAAGGATGTGTAATCTACCTCTCTACAGCTCTACTCAACCTCCCTGTAACTTTCCCAACCAAAATTAACCTGCCTGGCCGTCACTCCCCTATATGTGCTGTGTCCCTTTTCCCCCATTATGAGAATGTAAGCTCCTTGACAGCAGAAACGGTATTTATTTTTGTGTTTGTATTCTCTCATGCTTAGTAAAGTGCTTGGCACATAGTAAGGGATGAAGACACTTTTTCAATCATTCATTCATTCATCCATCCCTCCAGTGCAAGGGGAGGAGGGGCTGAGGCAAGGCTTACTGAGGTTAGGAATTCCACCACCAGCTCATAGGTGAGCCCCCTGGATCCAAACCGCAGGACATCCCCTGGTTTCAGTTTCACTGCTACGTTCTGAATGTGGCAGTTGTTAACAAAGGTCCCACTGAGCGAGTTGAAATCCTGAAGGATGAAGCTGCCTTCCTCTTCATTGAACTCAATGACGGCATGGTGGTTGTCGATATCTGGGTACTGAAAGGCAAAGACTGGGTTCAGAAAATAAATAAGTCAAAGACCAGCCATGTTGAGGGGACATGCAGCGGGTGGGGGAAGGCTGCTAACATAGCAAGCACAAAAACTGGGGAACCAGAAAAAGACGTTCTCATAGAAGCATTTGGCCCAGAACTGGCCGTGTGCTATTTCTATGGCGCAACAGTTCCCATCTGTGAAATGGGGATATGATTGGCATTGACTTCACAGAGTGGTTGTGAGATACCAATGGGATCCTTGTATTCAAAGGGCATTACAAACCCTAAAGTGATACATAAATGTGGTCTGGGATTATTAATAAATTATGAACTGAGGCAACTAGGCGGCACAGTGGAGTTCAAATCCAGCCTCAGATACTTACCAGCAAGTCCCTTAAACATCTGTCTGCTTCACGTTCCTTAACTCAGGTCTTCCTGACTCCAGGCCTACCACTCTGTGCACTATGGCACCACCTAGCTGCCCCACTTTATGTGTTCTTGATACCTATATATACAAGGTATCCCCAAAGTCTTAGCTTTAATAGCTTAAAACAGCATTCAGACTTTTGGGGCACCCTATATAGCAATGTAGCCTGACTGTAGTGTGGATGGAGCCCTGTCCTTCAAATCAGGAAGACTTGGGTTCAAGTCCTTCCTCTGACCTTACTGGCTGAGTGAACCTGGGCAAGTCACTTAAATTATCAGTAAGAAGACTCTAGGTTGAAGAACTGGCTTGAGTCCAGGAGTTCCCTATATTAATGAAATCACAGGTCCAGTCCCGATTCCTATCCTTGCCAGGGTACATATATATTGTTTTCTCTAAGAGAATGTAAGTTTTTTGAGGACAGGGACTATTTGATTTTTATCTTTGTACTTCCAGATCCTGGGCAGCTAGGTGGCGCCATTGTGCATACAGCATAGAGACTCATCTTCCTGAGTTCAAATCCAGCCTTAGACACTTACTAGCTGTGTGACCCTGGACAAGTCACTTAATCCTTTTGCCTCAGTTTCCTCATCTGTAAAATGAGTTGGAGAAGGAAATGGCAAACCAGTCTAGTATCTCTGCTAAGAAAACCGCAAATGTGGTCATGATGGGCCAGACACAGCTGAACAACAACAACCTGGCACAGTTTCAGGCACGTGTCAGGCATTTAATAAATGCTGATTGGTTTATTGAATAGCGCCTCGCATCGATCACAGACTTAGAGCTGGAAGGGACCATCTCATCTAATCCCTCAGGAAAATGAGGCCCAGGGATTGAGCGACTTGGCCAAGGTCTCTCGGTCACTGTGGCAGAGTCAGCGTTTAAGCCCTGGTCCTCTGGACCAAGGTTATATATAGCACTCTTTCCCATGTAACACACTGTCTCCAACTGTCTGTTTAAGCACACAGCAGGTGTTTAATAAGTGCTTGTTGATAGATCATCATAAGAAATACTCTGTGTTGTAATAGAAAGGAGAGCAGGGGCAGGAGAGCTGGGCTCTGGTGCCAGCTCTAATACCGACTCATCAGGTGAGTTTGGACAAGTTACTTCCTCTCTCCTCATCTGGTAGAGGACAGGGTAGGGCTAAATCATTTCTAAGATTCTTTTCCAGTTGTAAATTATGCGCTCTAGGGTTTCCAAATTCTATCCTTCCAGGCTCCAGGGCCTTTACAAAGTCTAATACTTTCTGCCCGAAAGTCCCTTTCATCTTCAGTGTTCTGTGTTCTAGGGACCTCTAAGGCTCTGCTGATGTTCTGTGTTCTAGGGGCATCTCCAGTTCTGCTGACGTTCTGTGTTCTGGTTCTGCTGACACTGTGTTCTAGGGGCCTCTCCAGTCCTGCTGATGTTCTGTGTTCTAGGGGCATCTCCAGTTCTGCTGACTGTTCTGTGTTCTAGAGGCATCTCCAGTTCTGCTGATGTTCTGTGTTCTGGTTCTGCTGACATTGTGTTCTAGGGGCCTCTCCAGTCCTGCTGACTGTTCTGTGTTCTAGGGGCATCTCCAGTTCTGCTGACTGTTCTGTGTTCTAGAGGCATCTCCAGTTCTGCTGATGTTCTGTGTTCTGGTTCTGCTGACATTGTGTTCTAGGGGCCTCTCCAGTCCTGCTGACTGTTCTGTGTTCTAGGGGCATCTCCAGTCCTGCTGACTGTTCTGTGTTCTAGGAGCATCTCCAGTTCTGCTGATGTTCTGTGTTCTAGAGGCCTCTCCATCTCTGCTGACAATCTGTGCTCTAGGTTCCATCTGTGTTCTAAAGTGCTTCTCCATTCTGATGAGAGGCAGCATTGTAGTACAGTGAGCACTGCCCTGGAGGTCAGGAAGACTCCAGGTCCCACCTAGACACAGACATTTCTAAGTTCTGTGACCACATTTATGGAAGTCTCAATGATTTAGAGCTTTGGTTTCCTCATCTCTGAAATGGGGATAATCCTCCTGCCCATAGAACCCATCTCCTGGGGCTACCTTGGGGCTCAGATGACATCATGTCTGTACAATGTACTTTGCAAAGCTTCAAGGGCTATAAAAATGCCAGTTCTTGTCATCATCAAGGTCCCTTCCCCCTCAGACATATCATATTCCAAGCTCCCTTTCCAGCTCTGACATTCTATGCCTCCAGGGCCTCTCCAAATCTAATGTTCTTTGATTCCAAATGAACATTTTGAGCAGGTGCCAGTGAACGAGAGAACAAAGCAAAACTATTAGCTGGCAAACCAGGAGTCACTTTATGAGAAAAAGGGGAAGTTCAGCTTCAATTTGAGGCAGCCTGGGAGAGGGAAGGGTGTCTAGGTGGTGCAGTGGATAGAGCACCGGGCTTGGAGTCAGGAGGAACTGAGTTCAAAACTGGCCTTTGACACTGACTAGCTGCGTGACCCTGGGCAAGTCACTTTGCCTCAGTTTCCTCATCTGTAAAATGAGCTGGAGAAGGAAATGGCAAACCACTTCAGTATCTCTGCCAAGAAAACCCCAAATGGGCCATGAAGAGTCAGACATGATTAAAATGATTGACCCACAACAATGGGACTGGGGAAAGAAACTAATTCTGGTGTCAGAGGACAAGCGTTAAAATCTTACCTCTGGATGCTTACTACCTGGGAGAGCCTTGGGGAGGTCCCTTACTCTCCTGGGACCTCAGTTCCCTCATTGTATAAAACTAGGGCTTGGATTGGATGACTTCTGAAGCCCCTTCCAGGCATGGATCTTGAATCCTATGACCTAACGTTGGAGAGGGTGCATTGAGTGATCTGTCCTTAAACATCAGTCTTTCTGCTATGGCAACTTCCACGTAGAACCAAGACCCCTAGCTGGCTATGCCTGCATCCTGGCCCTTGAAGGATTTTCATTTGAAGGGGAATGTTTAACGTACATGCCCTCTAATAAAGAAGGCACCTCCTTTCTTTGGGAGAATGGATGCTCAGTGTTTCCTGTCCCTTTGTCCTGATATGAGTGAAAGGAAGAGTCTTTATAGCTTGACTTCCCTGCACATTTTCATTATTCGAGGAGTTCTAGAGTCCATAGACCCCCCCCATAGGGTCAATAGGTAGATTTCAGGGGGTCATGAATTTTTAACAAAGTAATTTGCTAGCTCTATTTCAATATAATTGCTTTCCTTTATAATCCTATACATTTGATTTTATGATTTTAAAAGCATTCCTCTGAGAAAGGGTCCATAGGCTCCAGCAGACACTGCCAAAGGAAGGGTCCATGACACAAAAAAGGTTGAAACCTCCTGTGCTAGAGGGAAACACTCATTTTTGGAGCAAAGATTTATATTTAGGAAACTCCAATTTTGAGACCTCCCTTTTTGGTTTTCAGGATTGTTTTTGGAGGTGTGGCAGAGTGGGGGGTTGGGAACCATGACTTCAACATCCTTAGGAACTCCTGATGTCAAAACTCCCTCCACCAAAACAATAAAACTCCTCTGCCATTAATTGCCACCATCATCATACCTAGCATTTCCAAAGCACTTACGGTTTTGCAAAATAATTTACACAAGCTATCTCATCTGATCTCATTAGAATTTTAAAGAGTTGCCTGAAAGATTCTGCCTCTTTAAGATTTTATCTGAAAATTGGAAATAATATTTCCTTAGGGTACCTTTCTATTCACTGTTCATGTTTGCTCATTCATTGCCAAAGACCCACAGTGAGCACCAGTTTGGAAAGGGAGCACCAGACTGCTTAGCCCAGTCTTGGAAGTATTGGTGGCTGCCCAAGATTGGGGGGCTGGTGGTTGCCCCAGCTGGGCCAATCAGAAGCGGCTCTAGTAAAGGAGATGGGACCCAAGCTTGCCTCCCAAGCCCATGGCAATGAGGAGCAACAGGAGAGCTACAGCTAGGCATATCTGGAGCACCAACGGCAACCTCCCTTCTCTTCCTTCTGCCCTGGCACCAAGACGTGGTCAATTGCTCTGATCATGTCTTCTCCTTATTTCCCTTATTTTCTCCTGTGTCCCCACCCCAGATTCTCCCCTTAAGTCTCTGACTTTCCCTTGTAGGTAAAACACAACAGTAATAAAGGTTCTTCCGGTGAACCTCCAAACACAATAGAATAACTCACAAAACCAAATTATGAGCATTAAACACTTGCCTACCAAGACAACTATCATTAAACAGTTCTCTGGAGGGCATCAGAAATTTCGTTTTAATGTTTCAGTCCCGCAAGCTATGGTTATGGATTCCCTGGAGCCACCATATTTTGGCAAAGATATCTGTTCTACACATCATTGCTCCAAAAGGCACTATTTGGTTCTGCCACGTTCTGTCTCTTCACTTCTGCTACTTCTGACACTGCCAGGCCACTGCTCTGGAGTCCAAGGATGCCAAAGAGGCTGGGTGGGGGAACAGGGAAAAGCCTAGACAGAATGAGAAGTGGCTATTTTTTTTTTTGCCTGTACCAGGCACTGTTTGAAGTGCTGAGTATATAAAACCAGGCAAAAAAGAAATAGCCCCTGCCCTCAAGGAGCTTACAATTTAACGGTGGAGAAAATATGCAAATAAATATACAAAGCAAACTATGTACGTGATAAA